ATAAGGAGCGCGAGGGCTACCGAAACTAAAGCAAAAGAGGTAGCTAAAGCAACCCCTTACAAATCTCTTTTGTACTATCGATCTTATCTATATTAATTTTTTACTTTTTTTTGGCATAAAAAATATCGTGTTGGTCCTTTATTTCCTTTTTCTCTTTGATGAATTCTTTCTTTCTTTACTTTATATCTCCTCCCTGTTCACATTGCTTGCTTACCGTGTTCGTCTTTATACCATAAATTTCAGCAATTATTATAGAGGAGGAATATTTTCACTACCACAATTTTTTACTATCAACTTACTACCTATCTAATCACCATTAGATTAATATTTTCTCTTTCTTCAAAAACTTTTTAACATTCTTCCTCTTTGATCCAATGGTGATGTGATGGGTAATAAGTTAGTAGTAAGAATTTTTGATAATTAAAATATCCTCACTCATTATTATTATATCCCCCTCTAAAATAAAAGCCCCCCTCTAAAATAAAAGCCAGCGAGACTCTGAATTTGAAGCCAAATCTCTTGAAACTCGATCCTTATATATGGTTTAACCAGGGGCGGACCAGGGGTACTAGGGTTGGCGGCCGCCTCCTTCCAAATTTGAAAAAAAAAATTTAACATAAGTATAATGAAAGAAATTTTCATTTTTCCTCTCCATTAATGTGAAGTAGTTTTCTCCCACGGCAGAGTTTATTGAGCCTCTTTGTATTCTCAAGTCTTATATCTATTGAAACTCCTCTAACTCTGACTGCATTTTTTCTCCCTCTAGTAAAGTTAACGAAATAAGCTAAAGCTAAAAAAGAGTTAAAAGCTGCTTGATAATTACATAAAAAATTTAACTTAAAAGTTACTTAAAAGCACACAATTCAAGAAAAACAGATAAGAACTTAAAAAAAGGAGCTTTTCATTATAAGAATTTTTTTCAAAACATGTTTAGCTTAACTTATGCTTATAAGTTGCTTCTAGCTTAAAAAAGAAAAAATTCAAACAGATACAAATATTTAATTTTTCGTATTTTGGCCTCCCATATATTATATTTGAAGAGAGAAACAAATATTTAATTTTTAGCCTCCCACGGCAAAAATTCCTAGTTCCGTTAGTGGGTTTAACCATGCCAATACATATTCATATATATGGTCACCTTGTTTACTTGTCTCTAATTAATCGATAACCAACTTGTAATCTTTATAATATTGTGGCGTCGAAAAAAGTAAAAACCTGCCCATATTTGAGGTTGGAACTCTACTAGACAAACCTCTTCCCCCAAGTCACCAAGTACAAAACTTTTGGCCATGGTCTACTTAAGAATATTCCTCTCCCCATTGTTCTAAAAAAAGAATATTTCTCAAATTCATTAAATAGTATTTAAAATCTGTTAATCATTATTGTGTTTGTCAAAATTTCGATGGTTGCCTCAAGTAGTAATATAAACCCAAAGGCGAATGAATTGTCAAAATAGTAAAGGTTCCAACCATTGGCGGACCTATTTGGTTGTGAATGTGTGCAAGTGTATACATAAGTTTTGTTATATATATTTTTTTTAGAAAAAAAGAGATATTTTTTAATTAATTAGGAATGTCGTTCAAGAAGCAATTTTAGTGGCTGCAGTGTTAGGAATACTAGCACATATCCTAAGAAGGAAACACATCTCATTTACTGCTTATGTTTTAGTGGTTTTATATTATTAAGTTGATTACTACTTTTTTATGTTAAGTCGAAGTTTTTTTTTTTTTTTTTTGAGGATTATATCTCTCATATTATATGATTTTTTTTTATCATTTTAGAAAAAGACAAGTTATATAATATTAAAGAAAGTGAGATGACACATTATTCAATGAATTGGTCTTGTCTTTTTCATAACATGACAAAAATTTGATTCATATAACATAAGCGATATATTTTTTTTTTTTTTTTACATTCTTTTATTTTTTAATGCATTTAAAAAAAATTTAATTTTTTTTTCGGAGGCACTGTCCCCAAATTTCCTCCATTAAATATTTGAACTAAATATGCACACATAAATAAAATTTTCTAGATCCATTCCAACATTGAGCCAACGTTAGATAATTATCATGCCGTTTCACAAGAGATTAGTTTCAAACCTATGTGAATTTCTTTGCTCATCAGGGTTGTGGAATACCCGAAATCTATCTCGTTCCAAAAAAATAATTAGAGTTATTGAATAAAAAATAAAATATTACCAATGACCTAACTTTTTCCCTCTTCTGGAACTCAATAGGTTCTTTTTAAATTTTTAATCATAGTATTATTCGCTGGAGCAATCATGCGAAGATGCTCACCAACTATCCGTGACGGTGCGGAATCTAAACTAACGATTTGTTCACATTCCTGATTTCGTCTGAATAGTTTTATATGAAATTCCTATTATTTATCATTTATTTATTCACTGTACTAAGAATTAACAGCGCATCCTTTGATGGGAAATAAAGCAACCCAATGCTAGAGCAATAATATAAATTTGAAAGGAGAATAAATGGATAAGAAATTAATCAATTAGTGTTAGAGTGATCAAAAATATAAATTAATTAAGTCACGCTCAATTTCTAAAGATTTTGAGTTGAAATGACGCTTATCATGGTATCAGAATTAGAGTGATTAGGAGATTATGAGTTTGGTCATCATCCCCCTAACCACTTTCAGGTGAAATTAAGAAAGCACAAGGTAAACCAAAAAATAGTCATGTGTTGGACAAGGTACACAAAAAAATGGGCCTATGTCATATCACGCTTCAAGTCCAATTGGCTTTTTCGTTATAGCGTGTGTTAAAGAGATATAAAAAATATAAAATAATTAATTAAATCTCATCTAATATCTTAATTAAGGTTTTAGGTTGAAGTGATACTTATCCATTAATGCCAAGTAAATGTAAGTTTAACCATAAATGAACTTCTACAATAACAAGGATTTCAATATGTTAAAAAAAAAATATTTGTGAAAAAAGATAACATAAAGTACTGAAACAAAGATTAATCTTACATATATAAGCAATACTAAAAAATAATAAGATTAACAAAAAAATGGAGTAATTGCAACGTACAAAAACAGAATATATAAACCAGTATATTTACAAACAAGCTGACCATTTGCAAAGCAACAAGCCAACAATACTAAGTATAATTAGTGTTTGTGTTTTTCTTTCTTTAGCCTTTAATTAGCAATAACGTTTATTATTCTTTCCCAACTTTCTTCCCCAACTGCTACGACGATTCTAGCAACCTACAGATTCCCCTAGCTCAGAGTTGGAGTGGCATTATTCTAATGATGATATACGTACCTGCATTTCAATATAAGTATTTATGCGTACATATATGCTCGCGTACAAGTGTATGCTGCAACTGAAATATCATGCATGTTTAGTAAAATATTATCCACTTCCTTTTTCCTTCTGGCTAAAAGAATAGCTGAATAATAGTATTTTTGTCAACCATTTTAATTTATATATTTCGTAATTTACGGTTAGCAATTTTGTTTTTGAAAACATAGTGGCATGGATGGACCTTATGAAATAGTTTAATTTAATGATGACACAACACTTTACCATAATCATATACATAAGAGAGAGATAGTACTGTATTTTTACTCCACAAGCAGGTGTGTGCGGTGCGGGGTCTGACCTAAGACCAATTTCAGCCGTTTGTGTTTTAATTATTAGTCTATTGGGATTCAATATAAAAATATAAAAACAGGTTAATTGATCGTCACTTATCCTCAGTGCTCACCGTAACTTTCACCGTTGATGTCATGAATCAATGTACAACGAACATGTTTCAGTGGTGCTGTGCACACCTACAGTGGGCTACGTACAGCACCTGTTACCTCCAGCTTGGCTAAGAGTGGTGGACCCACGTGAGCAACGCTTCCAATCATTGAACAATGGTTTTTCACCCAGAAAATTTTCAGGTACTATTTGGTTCGGGAGAAATTTTTTTTTTACTAGGAAAATATAATTGATAGGAAAATAGTTAGAAAGTGAGTTTGATAGAAAAATGTAAAAAAAGTTGTTTGGTTGACCCAAATATTACCGGGAAAATTTATTTAAATATGCAAAATCTATGTTCAGGAAAAACTTTGCACCTATTTTTTCACTTCCCCAGTCATCTCAAAATACCACATCTCAAGTGCTATTCTGTAACAGTGAATTTCATCCAAAAATTAACACAAAAGTTATTTTCTCATCTATCCTATTTGCCTGGTATTTCTTGAAAAAACCTGAACCAAACGTGATATTTTTCAATATCCACCTACACTTTTTCATCAATCTTAAAATAAACCTTCAACCAAAGACTGCGTCATTATTCTCCCACATAAATGAGTGATAGGAAATTCCATTACACATTTTTGCAGTATTATAATAGTAACGAGGACTAGTTGCATTTATTAAAAGATAAAAAATATGACTCATTTAATTTTATTTCTTTATTTCCATGTCGCATAAATTCATTTGTTTTTAATTAACATGTATAAGAAAATTTAAGTGTGAACCCTTGACTAAATGATGGTGACTCAGTTAATATTGAGTAGGTGAGGATGAGAGTATGTGTTCGATCATCTCTAATATCATTTTTGGAATGAATTTAAAACTTTAATCATGGACCTAACTTGAATTAGATTAATAGTAAAATGATGAACTAATTAAAATATTTTAAAAAAAATTATTAAAAAAAAAGCATGGACCCTTGCTGATAATTTTAACTTCACGACTAAGCTTAAAATCCAATTGCAGGGACCACCCATCCGCTGATGTCACCTTAAAAAAGGTGTATGGGACCCTTGACCCCACCATCATAGTGCCGACTGACTCAAAAGCTATGCCATGTACGCGTATAGTTTCCCCAACTATACATTCTGGACCTAAATGCCCCTCCTCAATGTCGTTAATTGCAGAGGAGGGTCCCTGAAGCACGCCCATAAATACGAGTCCCCTAAGCAGCTTACCTTCCCTTTTCTCCCTCCTTCCATCCACCCCTCTCTAGTTAGCAACCATGCTCTCTGCTCTTCCTGCTTCCGACACTTTGTTCGGAAACCCATTCTCGGCGTTCGACGGCTGTTTCACGCCGTGGGATGGCCCTGACTTTTGTTTGGCCTTCAAGCCCAACAGCCCCAAGCCCGTTACTTCAAGCTCCGGTTCGGACGACCCCAACAAAACCCATGTCGCATCCGTTATGGACGAGCGAAGGCGAAGGCGAATGATATCGAACCGGGAATCCGCAAGGAGGTCACGTATGCGTAAACAGAAGCATCTAGAGAACTTACGGAACCAGGTGAACCTGGTTAGGATCGAAAACCGGGAACTTAGCAACGGGTTGCAATTCCTCCTGCATCACTGTGACCGCGTACGAACCGAAAACGATTGGCTCCGGTCCGAGCGAACCAGGCTCCGGCAAAAATTGTCCAACATAAGTCAAATTTTGGTTTTACAACAATTGCAACCCTCCTCTGCATGGCCATGCAATGTTGTCACAGCGGAATAAACCTTGATCATGATTAACCACGTAAATTAATCACAATACGGTCTCTATTAAATATACTAAAGACAATAACTTGTATGTGTATTATTAAAAGTAGCTAAAGGTGATGTCAGGTGGGGGGGTACTGGTGCTTTTTTGGGGGAAATCGGTAAGGGTTTTGGAAAATATGGTTGTAAATTTTTTCAAAACCAGAAGGGTTATTATCGATTATAGTTATTAATATGTAAAATATTACTTAGTGTTTTAATCATTCTGGTATGAATGCTGCGTTTTATGGTCGCTTGTTGCTCAAATAATGATTCGCTTAATTTAGGCTACAATTTCAGTATTCATCATACAACCGCGCGAGGCAAGGTTGAAGGTTGTGCTGCAGAATCCAAATCTCATATATATATGGATCAAAATGACAGCTAGCCTGAGAAAAGAGAGAGAGAGAGAGAGATAAAATTCCGATGACATAATATGTAATTGACTTCAAGTCCAATCTCGTAAGATTAAATACGAACACTGAGAAAAAAAGAAACCGTGTTATGCGCCCTACATGGACCATAACTTATAATCAAATGTATAAATTCAATTCTATATGGGCAATGTGCCATCCTTATAGCATCCTTTATACTTTATAGCATATGTATAGATGTCGTTATTAGTTGGCAAATAGTAGATCGATGCCAAAAGTATTACTCAAGCAACGGTCAATTCAACGTTCCCTTATTGTCCAAATGCGCTGTCTCCTGTTAACTTTTTTATTAAGGCAAATGTTTAAACAAATGGGCCCTAATATGATTGAAACATTTGGTATTTTTCCTAATATATAATAATTCAACTGAAAGTGAAGAATAGAATTCAAAAATTGTAAAATAATGAAAATATGTCTATACTATTCATCGCAGACGAATACGTCACCAACTTTAATCAAACAAAAGTACGAACTCAATCCTTCTTTCTCTTTCATTAAGAGAAGGTGATTGGTTTTGGATTATGAGCAATTAAAATAGCGTCTTTATCCTATAATAATATAAAGTGATAGATGACTTGAGCTCAAAAAATTTTACAACCAGAGCGGTCCCAGGCTATAATCAGAGACGTAATCCAATCACTAATCAATAAACAAAATGCTTAAGTACACCTAATTTGATTTTCTTACAACAAATTATATAATATACTATGAAGTAGGATATTCATACTACCAATTTTCTATTATCACTCTAATCTCTATTGGATTAGAAGAAAAGTTGAATGAAAAGATAAAAAAGAAAAACAACTATTGAATGCAATGATGATTAGAGAGGTACTAAAATTGGTAGTAAAAAAAATTGATAATATGAATATTCTACCTCATATACTATTATACATGCAATAATTTATAAGGCTCCATATTTTACTTCTTTCCGACTACTTTAGTTAATCGTGCATTCAAATAACGCTTGCACTGCGGAGGTGCGCAAAACGAATATTCGAAACATATTCGAGGCATGTTTTGTTTGGATTGCTACCCCAAAAATTTCGAAAATTACGTGTAACAAGAAAGGTATTCGAGGCATTCAAGATCCCCTGCTTGGATTGCTAATGCATTAAATTCACGCAAATCAAAAATATTCTTATATCAATATATAATATTTTTACAGGATGAAAATATTACAGAGTTTGTTATAAAAAAAATAAAAATAATACAGAGTTCATTGTAAATAAGAAACGTACGTTATACACATATAATGCTCGTAATATTTTAATATAATTAAAAGTTTTTCACATTCTATAAACACGGTTAAGTCATAAAATATGATACACTAAATATTTAATATAATTCTGCTCTCTTCACAATAGAACTTCTCTATTGAGATTTCACAACTTTAGTCCACTGGTTTTTTCCCCTTTTTCTTTTGCCTTTGAGTAAAAAGAGGGCAAAACAAAGCATTGGTAAAACTATTTCTTTGTGATTAAAACATAGGATTTGAATTCGAAAAACAATTTTTTTGCAATTATACAAGAATAAGATTAGCCCTCACCTCGTTCTAGTTAATCGAAGTTTAATGAATGATACGTCTTTGAGTACATTATTTGGAATGAAAATCGACAATATCTAAACCTAACCTATATATCGTTTATTATTAAAATCAAAACCCACATGTATCTCATATATAAACAATCAATTTTAAATAAAAAAAAACCCATTTCGAAAACATCTTCCTTCAATTAGAATTGGGTCAGTCACGATCAGTGGAGTTAGGTATGGGTTACGCACATTTCAAATCGTCAATACATCAGTCTCGCAAGAAGCTTTTTTAGACGATTAACTCCATATTTGTCTTAGCTTGGTTGCGCGTTCTCTTTCTTTTCCAAGTTACTATGTGTCCTAGCTAGAAACTTGTCTTTCAACAAAGCAAATGGGAAAAGCCACGTAGAACTTTAATAAATCGATGACCAATTCGTACAGTATTAATTACTTTAATTTAGATGTTTAACATTTACACTTTACCGAGGTAGGAAATTTATTTTAATGTAAAAGATGTGAATTATCTTCCTCTTTGGAATCTGAAGTGCTTTAATAGTAATACCTCTTTATCATTCTTGTATGTTTGTTAATTATGGTGGTTTTTTGTGAAATGAAAAGAAAAATGACAAAAGGATTATACGAATTCTTTATTTGGTATATAGAAGGGAAGAAAGTTAGTTTGATGTGTTTTTTAAAGAACTTACGTATTTTATAGGGAAGGAAAGAAAATAATTGTGTAAGCCTCCACTGTTTTTTACTTAATTTGTCGACTGTAAATTTTAAAGTAAATCAATTTTATTAGATAAAAGATAATAAAATAATTTAATATATATAAGGAAAAAATATTTATTATTTTAAAAAATTTCATGATGGGTTAATCTCATTTTCAAAGAATTTCATGATTCTGCAATAAGGGGTCATTGTGGATTTTTTCGCACATATAAAAGAATAGTTGCACTCATTTATTGGGAAGGAATGAAAAAAGTTATACAGGACTATGTAGCAGCTTATGATCTTTGTCAACGAAATAAATTTCAAACACTATCTCGAGCAGGTTTACTACAACTTTTGCCTATTCCAACACAGGTCTGAAGTGATATCTCCATGGATTTCATAGGCGACCTTCCCAAGGCTCATAATTTGGATACTATCTTTGTTGTTGTTGATAAACTAACAAAATATGCCCACTTCATCTCTTTATGTCATCCTTATAAAGCTAAGCAAGTGGCTGAAAAATTCGTTAAGGCGATTGTAAAGCTACATGGATTTCCAAACTCTATTGTATCTGATCATGAAAGGGTTTTATGAGTCAATTCTGGGCTGAAATTTTTGAACAAGCAGGGACTCATCTCAAATTTAGTTAAGCCTATCATCATCAATCAAATGGCCAAACTGAGGTGGTCAATAAGTGTCTTGAGACTTATCTTCAATGCTTTTGCAGCTCTAAACCAAAACAATGGCCAATTTGACTCAATTGGGCTGAATATTGGTATCACACCAATTATAACAGCTCTACTAAAATGACATCTTTTAAGGCTTTATATGGAAGGGAACCTCCAACCCTAATCAAAGGTAATAATCAAGTTTCTGTAGATTACGTGGGAAAAATATTGGTAAAAAAGGACAAGATTTTACATGATTTGCATCAACATTTACTCCAAGCCCGAAACAGAATGTGTGTCCAAGCTAATCAGCACAGGCGAGATTTGCAATTTGAACCAGGAGATCAAGTCTATCTCAAGTTGCAACCTTATCGTTTAAAAACCTTGGCCAAGAAGTTGAATGAAAAACTTAGTCGAAGGTTTTATGGACCCTACAATGTGCTGGAAAAAATAGAAGATGTTGCTTACAAGTTAGAGTTTCCAGCCAGCTGCAAATTCATCTTGTATTCCATATTTCGTTATTGAAGAAAGCTCTTTCCTCATATGTTATTCCTCAGCCTTACCACCAATATTGACAGATGAATGGGAGCTACAGGTTCAACCAGAAAAGGTCTTAAAGTACTGACAAAATGCAGCGGATAACACTATGGTGCTAATCAAATGGAAGGACTTGTCTGACTTTGAGAATTCTTGGGACGATCCAACAATTCTCATAACACAGTTTCAACAGATTCACCTTGAGGACAAGGTGAAAGCTTTAGGGGGAATATTGTTGGAATCAGAAAAATTTCTAGTACTAAGGTTTATTTTAGGAGAAAGTATAGGGAAAATAAACCCTCTCAACTGATTCCATAACTTCCATAGAGAGATAGGAAACTAGTTATCAAGTAACTGCGTAGCAGTGAAGGCAGAAACTGCTGCATAGTGCTTATAGTAATTATGGATTTATAAATAAAAGTAGAAAACAGTAATTGTAGGATAAGAACTAAGTCAGAAAATTAGGAGATAACATGCTTCCCAAATGCATGCTTCTGTAATTATGTATACTATTAAAAAATGTACCCTGCAGATGTTTTAGAGGAATAAACCAAATATAGTTTGTGTTATTATTATTCTTCTATTATCTTTTGTGAATTGAGTTTTCTATTAGCATGCATAAAGGAAACTCATGCGCATAGGAAGCCTATATATTATATTTTTTTTGGTAAAACTATATATTTTTATAATATCAACCCTGGATATCATTGCACCTAATGGGCAAAATGGGCCTGGTCCATATTAGGTGAATTGCTCTACAACAGTAAGTCTTTGTTTAGTTCTGAAACCTTTGAGCCTTATACCCCAATCCATCTACCCGAGACTCACTTTACCTAAACGATCTAAATCAATCAACATCCATTTGTTTTTGTCCCCAAATGCTGCAATTGCAGACTTCGCTTCATCTCCGAAGCCGCCATCACCTTCATTTCCATTTACTGTTTTGATCCAGCTCCAATGACCAAGTCTCTGGTATAATCACCTCCGATAACGCCTCTAATGAGCTTACCACCAGCACTAAATCACTTGTGTTTTCCCCTAACAGTTGACTCTGAGCTTAGGGAGGGATCATCTAGCAAGGTGGAATCGCTCGATCCCACA